GGCCTCATGTGGCAGAGCAGAGGAGAACTGAATGGGATGATGAAGTACTCAAGATCTCATAGCATCAAGTGCAGAAGTGGTGCATGAAGTGGTGTTGTGTTTCACTTGCTCCTCATCATTTGTAATATTCCATTAATGCAGTTATATCATAGAAAGGAATTAAAAAAGATATTAATTTAGATTGTGAATATTTGGGATACATACAAAATGTAGAATAGGCCTCTTAGATTTGCAGCCTAACTCATTTTGTAAGGTCTCAACTATACCCAGGTCATGATTTGGTGTTGTACAAATTAAATTGAATTGAACCAAATCATAGCCTAAACCGATCTGGTTCCAAATAATTTCATTCAAAGAAATAAGTGCAGTAAAGAACTATATACTATAGAAATATAAAGTAATACAAATTTGGACAATGGAAAATACTAGAAATTGCACTTCTCACATAATCATGATTTCTTTAGGCCTTAAATATGTTTTTAAATGACCAAGTAGGGTATATTGTTTTACACAGGAACCTGCCTGTCTTTAAATGTCAGTGACGTCACCATACTGTATGGAGTCTTGCGGGAAGTCATGCAAAGTTAATCAATATGTCTACTTAGTGGTAGCATTGAAGCACTAATGCATTACGGGATTCGACATACAGATTTTTGTTTAGCACGTCACTGCTGCCTCCTGCATCCAGACATTGTAAGACTGTAAACATAACTCCCAGATGAATCTGAGGAGCTGCAGCCTGAGATTCATGAAGAGACTGTGTAAACCTGGTACAGATCTACATGTACTGCTGCACAGTTAATGAGAACACCATTAGGGCTACTTGAGGAATTTGCCTGTAACAAGGTTAAGATGCCTGAGCTCTGTGGCATGTCATCATCGTGTTCTTCACTGGGATACATTTCAAGATGTGCTGCACACAGAGTGAAATGAATCACCACATAGTGACTATGATATGTAGAGTTCTATTTTGAGATTATTTTGATTTGCTCGAGATCCTTTCTTCCATCCTCCTCCCCCTCCAGCTTGAGGAGGTACATCCCACCTCCTGCACGGTGCGGAGGACCATCTTGTATAACAGCTCCAATTGCGGGTTCACTGCACCACAGAGGATGTCCCCAACACACGTGCACGCACACACGAAACCGCACCGCACAAACAAATACACACAACCAATACGCATATTGAATTATTCACCTTACCTTTTTTTATGCGGGATTGCTTTAGAGATGTTCTCTTATAAGATCCAATCCGAACGATGGAGATGAGTTGATGCTGATGTCCGTGATGCTCGGCCCCGGTTTAAATAGAAGGACAGTCCCCGTGCGTGTGTCGCGCCAAACTCTCACTCTCTGGCATCCCTTCTTCTTCTTCTTCTCCTCCTTCGTCAGTCTCTTCGGAGCGCCTATGGGAGGCAGAATGGATGCTCTTGCGCGCGGACTCATCCACAAGAGAGGCTGTCTGACGTCAGAGACAAGGAGGCTCGACCAATCAGGGGGGCCGGCACTGAGGATGCGGGAGGTGGGGTGGGGGGGTGTATATGGAGTAATTTCATTCAGAAAAATGCGGCATCTCTCGCGCCCCTCCCACTGCGGCTCACTCCTGCTCGTTGTTTTTGGTATTAAATGACACACACACACACACACACACACACACACACACACACACACACACACACACACACACACACACACACACACACACACACACACACAC